TATAGATATAGATATAGATATAGATATAGATATAGATATAGATATTTAATTTGCGAATCGATTCGAAGCTTAAAACAGATTCGGACATGAATATGACTTTAATTTATAGATCTCCTATACATATTTACACATACATAAGTACCTACATAAATACGTAAAAATAGATGTGACTTTTATTTTTGTTTTAATGTGTGTTTAATAGAACTAGCCGAAGGCCCCCTACGCAGAAAGAATTTCTGCCTAGAAAGGTGTTCTGTTTGTTTGAATACGCAATGAGAGCAGAGCCTTTCTTTGAAAATATCACATGGCGAAAAATCAAAATTAAGCGGACTTCGCTACCAAGCCCTGTAATGCGCTGCGTCGGGTATTTGCTTGCATGCAAAGTCCTTCGTCTTTAAGTGACAGCTCTTGTGTTATGCATTGCATTGCAATAGCCTGATCCAATACTTTTCGTGTAAAATCCTGTAAAAATGTCAAACAGCAAAATTACTCTCTCAAGTGGGAATAAAAAGTGAGTAACAACAAAAAGTACGGGAACAAAAAAATCATTTTTCCAGTAAAAGCCTCAACCAGTGATCGCTTGACATTTTTTCAGGATTTTACCAGAAGAAAAAGTTCGGGTAAAATCTTGCAACTTCATTCTCTACACAACTCTCCAAAAACCGCTCTCATGTACAGGAATTTGGAGTACGGGATCATTTTTCCTGTAACTTCCTGCAAGTTCGTGTAAAAACATGTAAGTTCATGGAATACTGGATCAGAGCTAATGTAACCTTAGCCAGCGGCAGCTGTTTTCGCATTAGTTATTATTACCTTGTCTGATTTGCATAAATCCTTCAAGATTTCCTCCGTAAAATACTTAGTCTTCCCATAAGGACTAGTGCAGTTGCCGGTCGGATGTTCTTCAGTTACAGGCAAGAATTTAGGTTCTCCATACACTGTGGCACTGGAACTATATACAAATTTAAAAACATTGTTGTCAGCCATAGCTTCCAAAAGAACATTTGTGCCGGTCATGTTGTTATGGTAGTATTGAAGCGGTATGCGGCAAGATTCTCCGACTGCTTTAAGAGCAGCAAAATGAGCTACCATATCGATCTTGTGCTGAAATGAAATACATTTGTTAGGTATAAATTTTATAAAGGCATCCACATACTTATGCGATTCTTTCGCAACGAATCCGCACCGTTTTTGATGCTACAGACGTTACTGCTCCGAAAACGCAACTACGCACACATCTGTGCGATTTCATCGCGGCAAAAACTGTCAATTTATAGACAAACAAAAAGGATTTTTCAACAAAAATAAACTTCTTAACTTGTCTACATCAAATATGTTTTGTTTTCTAACGTTAAATTTTTAAAGGAAGAACTGTAAATGTTCGAATAAATCGATGTAGCAAAATCGTACAAGCGTGTGGTTCCTCATTTAAAACTATGGAACAGATTCGCACCGACAAAATCGCGTAGGTGTGTGGATACCTTAATGTTACGTATATGCATATGGGTTTACCCAGAGAATTATTTAAGGGGGTGCTGAATATAAATAAAAACAGTGATATGAACTACAGAATATAGCATTCGTTGGTGGTGTCCAAAGTAATCAAAGACACATACTTAATTTTACTTTTTCGAGCACTGTTTTCGCCACTGTCAAGGATTTTAAATATACCTACAAAACAAAAAAATTTAATACCTAAAAGTAGATTTGAACGCGAAGTCTGTTCTGCCTTTTCCATGTTGGATATGGAAGCAAAGCGAATGGGTCTAGTGGTAAACGAGGACAAGACGAAGTATCTCCTGTCATCAAACAAACAGTCAGCACATTCGCGCCTTGGCACCCACGTCACTGTTGAGAGTTACAATTTCGAGAAAGTAGAGAATTTAGTTTACTTGGGAACCAGCATTAACACCGATAATAATGTGAGCATTGAAATCCAACGCAGACTCACCCTTGCCAACAAGTGCTACTTTGGACTGAGTAGGCAATTCAGGAGTAAAGTCCTCTCTCGACGTACGAAAACCAAGCTCTATAAGTCATTCATCATGCCCGTGCTGGTATATGCCGCAGAAGCATGGACAATGACAACATCCGATGAGGAGTGTTTGAGAGAAAGATTTTGCGGAAGATTTACGGGCCTTTACGCGTTGGTGACGGCGAGTAACGCAGACGATGGAACGATGAGCTGTATGAGCTTTACAACGAAATGGTCATAGTGCAGCGAATTAAAATACAGCGGCTCCGCTGCCTTGGCCATGTCGTTCGAATGGACACCGATGCTCCGGTTCTGAAAGTATTCAACCCGGAACCCGGTGGTGGTAGCAGAGAAAGAGGGAGGCCTCACTGCGATGGAAAGATCAGGTGGAGAAGGACATGGTTTCACTTGGCGTTTCCAATTGGCGTCAGTTGGCACAGAGGAGAAACGGTTGGCGTGCTTTGCTGAACTCAGCCAAAATCGCTTAGGCGTTTACAGCGCCAAAAAAGAAGAAGAAGAAGATTTGAACATATTCATTTGGTTTAGTTGGACCGTTTCCACCGTGATACAGTGTGTTATTTCCTTATTCTAGAAATTATTAATTAAATTATTTCATATCGCCAAATTTCAAAACAAAGTCAAAAATGTTTTTAGAAATGCCTGATAAATACGAAACAATGACAACTACAAAATTTAAATCAAAGTGTGGGGCCGAACTAGAATTGATTTGGAAGATTATCAGGCGCAATAATATTTAAACGTGTATATTAGAATCTGAATCTCAATGTTTAAGTTGTTGGTGTTATGTGATTTATGCAACAACTAGCTTATACCCGCGGGTTTCACCCCACGCTTTTATACAAATATGAAAAATAATTTAATGATGTTAGATTTTATTTCTGTGCCCATTTTGTTATAGCTCGTTATTTTTTAAGCGAGTTAAGGTATTTAGGCCGTTTAAAACTATGAAATTATAAAATCTCGTCGCGCGCTAGACATACGAAAGTTTACCTTAAAATGGTTCCAGGTATACGACGCGTGAACGTGTAACCTTCTTGGAGGTGCCACGGCGGGTTCTAATATTTCCAACTCAAATTTAGTAACATGGCCTTGATAAAATACTACTTCTCATTACTGTAGCAAATGCCTCAAGAGAGCTTTAGATTATAAGTCCGAACCCGGCTCTCCCATTTCCATTTAATGAAATTTATTCTGTCAGTACGGCACTTAAAAATAAATCTCCATAACAAATTTAAAATACTTCGAGAGATTTTCTATCCTTCCAGAGATATGTATTAAGAAGCCTTTAGTATGTATGGGAGGCGAAATGCCTCCTTTTTTAATAACTCACATTTTTTCCATGAGCAATTGACACATTTTTTATACACAACTCCATACCAAGTTCTAGTATTCTTCCACAAAAACTTCCAGGGATATGTGTCAAGAAAAAGTTAATTTGTAGTGGAAGTGCCACGCCCCTTTTTCTTATAACCCTAATCTTCTTCCATGAATTTAGAATTGATTTTACATACCCCAGTACCAAGTCCCAGTGATCTACCAGGAACACCTCTAGAGATAAGCAGTACAAAACAGTAAATTTGTACGAGAGGAACCATGTTCCCTTTTTGAATAACGCAAATTTTTCTCCATGAGTATGGAAATAATTTTGTATACACATCTCGGTGCCAAGTTCCAGGCCTCTGCAATAAACACCTCCAGAGATATGCAGCATAGAAAAATCAGTTTGTATGGGAGTTGGAACACCACCTTTTCCAATAACTCTCATTTTTCTCCATGAGTATGGTATTAGTTTCACATACATGCATACATATGTATTTGCTTTACCCCAAACATTTGAAGAGATATGCAATATGAAACTTTCAGTCAGTATGGGAGGTGCTACGCCTCTTTTCCAAAAACGTCCATTTTTCTCCATTTCACACAGTGTTGGCAAACTGTTAATCTGAATAACGATTAACAATTAACGATTAAAATGTTAATCGCGTTTGATGATTAAAATTAATTAGTCGTAATCAACTGTACGATTAATGATAACAGTTTTTTAATCGTTAATCGCTGGCTGCGATTCTGTTTAATTAATTTAAAACATTAATCGTTAATCCAATTAAATATAAAATCTGATTAATTTGTCTAGTTTGTCCGAGTTTGAAACCAAACACCAGTTATAGTAATTAGTTTGTGTTTTATGCTTATAAGAAGCACATAATATAAAAAAATAATTATTGTTATTAGTAATACATAAACTGGAAACTTTTACAAACCTAGTTTGTAAAACGTTTGTTTGTATATATCTTAATTAAAATGCAAACCAAATTTCTTAGATTGATGAGCAAACCCGACTTAGCCATACCAGATTAACTAGCTTTGTGTTCACAGGGAAATTCCAGCATAACTTAATTAATCACCAAACCTACTTGATCAAATTAAGAGTTAATGATTAAAAATTAATTTTTTAATCGCGGTTACGATTAACTGTTTAGTCAGATTAAAATTAATCATGATTAACTGTAATCAGATTGAATTTAATTGAATTAACTAACTGATTAAAACATCAATCGATAAATGCCAACATTGATTTCACATACATATCACTATACCAAGTTCCAGTTCTCTCCCACAAATACTTCCAGAGATATGTATGTAATATGAAAATTCCAATTTGTATGGGAGGGGCCTTTAGTTATCGGACTTACTTTCAGTTTAAGACCATCCTTCCGAAATCCGTAGTAAGTGTACTAAATTTCCTTCTGATCGGAAAACCGGTTAAGGTAGTAGCCTATTTTTCAATCCAGGTCATAAACCATCTTTGAGCAAAATTTCATTTTCAAATAGGTGGCAATTCTTAACAAGTAGCCTACTTTCCAATCTAGGTCATAAGCTATCTGTGTGCAAACTTTCATGCAAATCAGTTCAGTAATTTACGCGTATTAATTTAATTAAACTTTTCTAATACGTGACAGCTCTTAAAATAGTAGCCTATTTCCCAACAAAAGTCATAAGCTATCTCTGTGCGAAATGTCAAGCAAATCTGTTCAGTCGTTTCCGCGTATTAATTTCATTAAAACTTTTTAACAGGTGGCATTTCTTCCAAAGATTAGCCTATTTTCCACTGTAGGTCATAGCTATCTGCCTGCAAAATTTCATGCAAATCCATTCAGTCGTTTCCTCGTATTAATTTAATAAAACTTTTTTAACAGGTGGCAACTCTTAAGAAAAGTAGCCTATTTTCCAACCTAGGTCATAAGCTATCTGTGTGCAAATTTTCATGCAAATCCATTCAGTCGTTCCCGCATATTAAATAAATTAAACTTTTTTAACAGGTGGAAACTCTTTAAAAAAAAATAGCCTATTAACCAATCTGACCCTTAAGCTGTCTGTGTACAAAATTTCATGCAAATCCGTTCAGTCGTTTCCGCGTGATGATTTCCCAAACATCCAAACATACAAACTTTCACATTTACATATAATATTAGTAAGATTGCTAAAATACCCATTTTGGTCTTATTATTTTAGATATGTTCTTTTTAATTTTTTTTATTGTTATAATATGTATTTATTTATTGAATCTTTCTTTCGAAACTAACAATAAGTTTCCAAATTTTACAAACTACCATTAAATTTAAAATTTCTGCGGCAATGTGGTTCCTCAACCGTACTGAGTAAATGGTGCTTAGCCCTCTTATGTCCTCATGCACCATATTTACATTAAGATCTTTGTGGATACTAGTATTTTTTATGTAGCACGGTGCTCCGCATATGGCGCGTAAAATTTTCGACTGCAGTCTTTGAAGTCTGTTCAAAATGGAATTGCAAGCTGTGCCCCAAAGCCCAATTCCATATGCCCAATATGGTTTAATCATTATATTAAATATCAGCATCTTATTTTCTAGATTTAATTTATATTTGTGTCCTATAACCCATTGAAGGCTTGCTTGTTTTAGTTTCGCTTGAGAAATTTTGTTTTCTATATGCTTTTTCCAGGTAAGTATTCTATCTAGTGTCATTCCAAGGTACTTGACACTATCTTTTTGTGGTATAGCCTTGCTGTTTATTCTTGGTGGTAGACAAGTCTCTTTCTTCAGAGTAAATTTTGTCTGAACACACTTGC